CGTCTCTTAAACATCCTCACCCTGTCTAACCCATCAATTCCACTGAGTGTTAAATTTATATTATCGTATCTCTGCTGGTTCTTCTATCCTGCACTGTAGTTACTGTAAATTCAATTCTATTAACCTTTCCTCACTGCTCATGCTTCTAAACTCAGGAACACGCCTTGTTCCTCATCCTCATATCAGACACAGACAGAGTTGTAATCCACAGCACAGTGTCATTCTTTGCAGACGATACTAGGATCTGCATGAGACTGTCATCTATTGAAGACACTGTTAACATTCAAGAAGATATAAAACAAGTTTTCCAATGGGCAACGAAAAACAATATGATGTTCAATGAAGACAAATTCCAACTACTCCGTTATGGAAAACTGGAGGAGATAATAACTAGAAATGAGTATACTACAAACTCTGATCATACAGTAGAGCGGAAAAATAATGTGAGGGACCTGGGAGTGGTAATGTCTGAGGACATCACTTTCAAGGATCACAACAGTGCCAAGATCACAACTGCAAAGAAAATGATTGAATGGATAATGAGAACGTTCAAAACAAGAGATGCCAAGCCAGTGATGATCCTTTTCAAATCACTTGTTCTCTCCAGGCTGGAATACTGCTGTACATTAACATCTCCGTTCAAAGCTGGTGAAATCGCAGATCTAGTGTACAGAGAACCTTTACTGCACATATAAGTTCTATCATACACCTCAACTACTGGGAACGCTCGGAAACACTTGCTGAACGCAGGTGAGATATATCAAAATCTACACTTGGAAAATCCTAGAAGGAATGGTCCCGAATCTGCACACAGAAATCCCTCTCTACGAGAGTAGAAGACTGGGCAGGCGGTGCAAAATACCCTTAGTGGTACACTAAGAGAAAACACCATAAGTGACCGGGGCCCAAGACTGTTCGACAGTCTCCTACCATGCATAAGGGGAATTACCAATTGGCCCCTGGCTGCCTTCAAGAGGGAGTTGGACTGATACTTAAAGTCGGTGCCGGATCAGCCGGGCTGAGGTTCGTACTTAGGACTACGTGCGGCCAGCAGTAACAGCCTGGTTTAGCAGGCCCTGATCCACCGGGAGGACTGCTCGTGAGCTGCGTCGCGGGGGCGTTGATCCCCGGTATACCCTCCAAGTAAACTCCAGGTAGACTTTCTCCAATTTCTTAACGTGCTTCCTCAGGTGTGGGTTTCATAGTGGTGCTGCACACTGTTAGATGGGTGCCCGGAAAGACTTGTTAATATTCCTGAAAACCATTCTTAGATTTGCCAGGCGAGAATTAGCTACAGATGTTATCTGGGTAATGTGAGCCTCTGGTGAGATGGTAGTCACCTGCTCATCCCAAGGTCTTTCTGAGAGAGATCTGCAACCTCTGTCTCCCGAGACTATACACCGTGTCCAGTCTTCTGTCCTCTTCCCAGGTCTTCATGACCTACAATGTGCTGGAGTTACATTCAAGCAGCCACTTACCTGACTAATATTGCAGTTTGTTTCCTTCATTTGCAGCCTTTCCTCTCCTCGTCTGTTTTTAATCTGATAACTTTAGAAAGCTTCTTTTGATTAGCTCTAAAATTTCAACACTCGTGTATACTACTTATAAAGCTGATGTTACTACTTTGTGTTAGTTTAATATACCAGTTTTGTTAACTGGTTTCTATGAAATATGTTTAGAATATCTCAACTGATCAGAAATATGTAACACTGACTTTATCGGGTTATCTTACTGTAGGCTAAGTCTACATAATGTACTTTCATGTGCACATAACATGTGTGCCCTAAGACCATTACAAATAATTAATGTTATGTACCCAAACCTTAAATAAAACTTAATTACTTAGCTGGATACTTAAATCTTAAACGCTAGTCAATCTTATGAGAAAATTTTGGATTGGTTTTGGCCTGTGCAAGGTCCCAGTTTGCCTTTTTGACGTGAAAGAAACCAGAAAAATTTAAATACTAGTTTTCATACGATAATTTCTAAATGTTTTAAAACTGACTTCAACGCTGATAACTTGAAATGCAAATTCTGAGCATCTTCCAAAATAATGTGATGCATTTTAGGATATAGCGCCAGATAACAAGAGAATACCTCTCTAGTTTAGCTTCCAAGGTGTTTCTTATTGGAATGTTTGAATCAGTTATAGGCTGTGTATGTCCTAATTTACCTTTTTTATTGCAAAATTGGGATATCAGTTTCCGTGTGATAACTTGCGAGTGCCTCTTCTGATTCCCTTCGTCTTCATTGTTAATATTTATTTAACTGTTTTAGAAACTTATGGATGACGCACTCTGCACTATTTCCTTCGCGTGCACTGACATACAGGGGGCTAGGAATACCTTTCCCAGATCGCCCGACGCCTGATATATTTCTAGCTTAATATTAATTTCTCACAATGTAAAAACCATCTGAGTACGTATGGCATAAATAACAATTAGAAAGTCACTTTTAATTATACAGGCTTATATGTTATATTTTTTATCATCTCTAGCAATGTCAGTCATTCGTCTTTACTACACATTCGTGGCATTGAAGATGCGCTCAAAAGTTTCACTAGAGAGTTTGCAAGAGAGTCGTATCAATTACTAGGTCAGTGCTCTGCAATATGACATCCGCCAGAATTTTTAAGACGCAAGTCACACGCCCAACTTTTCCTGTTGATTAGGTTAAACCCGCAGAGGTATCTACACAAACCCTTGACTTACTTTTATAAATCTGCATCATATTCTTCTGCGGAGACAAGTCTGCTCGCTTATTTATTTATCAGATTGATTAATTAAAACAATGAAACCGAATATAATTCAAATCCATTTATGTTTACGCTTGGAAGAGTAATGGTGTTGAGAGGTGCAGAGAGTGGGAAGATGAGCGAAAGTTGGGGTCAACATTATAATGTTTATCTTCCCCCCCCCCTTACAACCTCACCCTATGTTTACTTACATCATCACACATGCAATGTGGTGAGCATTGCCAGTCTTTTATTTAATATTTTTTAATATCTCTATTTACTACAAGTACATGTACAAGGTATATAGTCCTAGCTGACATCAGTGACATACTACTACATAGAAAGCCGCTTGTTATGCTGAGAATTTCGAGCAAATTAGGTCATTGTCCCAGGATGCGACCCACACCAGTCGATTAACTTCCAGGTACCCATTTTACTGATGGGTGAACATGGACAACAGTCTTCTGAACATACAAGCTGTAACACTATTTAAGCTTCCATGATATAAAATTAAAAGATTGCAGGAAGTTTGTGTTACATCAGGGTGTGTGAAGGAGGAAGTGTGAGAGTTGTTGTGCAGCGTGTGGCTCGAGAGATGTCGAAGCACTATTCAAGGAAGTGTTGGCAACCACATATTTGCCACTCTGACTCCCCTAACATCCGTACACATTACCTGGTCCTAGTTAGTGTGACAGACCATCCTCTGAGATGAATGTAAATACTACCTGGTCCTAGCTAGTGTGTCAGACCATCCTCAGAGATAACTGTACACACTACCTGGTCCTAGTAGTGTGACAGACCATCCTCAGAAATGACTGTACATTCTACCTGGTTCTAGTTAGTATGATACACCATCCTCAGAGATAACTGTACACACTACCTGGTGCGATAGATCATTCTCAGAGATGAGTGTACACGGTACACGCCACCTATCTGGTACCATCCATATAGATGGTAATTCCCACCTAAGAATAGTTGCCGGATCTGTATAACTAGTAGTGGAATGCCCTACTGAAGTCTCGCAGCTCACTCTGACAGATTTTATTACATCGTGCAAGAACGTCATCATGTAATGGAATATGAAAGGGAAACATAGCTAGCTTTTTCTGACACTAGCAACTACCTTCAAGAGTAAGGTTGCCGCACACAGCGGATGTACTCAATTTTGTTTGTCATTACAGACCTTTTCTTCACACACGTAATTTTATCACAGAAAAATATAAAACTATTATTTAAACAATGGCATAATTCAAACTGTATGGTTAACCTTCGTAGCGACGCTATGTATGTACTTCCAGCTGTGAATTATGCTTTGTAAATTTATCTATTTTAATATCTTCTGTCACTTGTTAATGTGAGAATGATGTGTGAGACAGCACACTTTCCAATGTGATACAGGTACAATAACTAAGACCTGCATCACTAGTGATGCTGACCTGAGATAATACTATGCAGGGTGTGTAGGTAATGGCTGCGTGGGTGATGGGTATGCAGGTGGATGCGTGTTGAGGGGTATGTGGTTGTTTACCATAGCATCACCATGACCGCCAAAAAGGAGCCATGAAGGTGATCAGTCCCCCCCCCCATCACCCCCACCCCGCCATACAAGATCAATGACATTTCCTGCCGCCACAAATTAAACTAAATATTTCCGCTAGAGTCAAGTCACATATAAGGAAACTTTTAGGGTGTCAAGCTTTAATAAGATTCAGATTTATACTTTCCTTTATAAGCATACCTGAATCCCAAATATATAGTATCAAATCTTCTATTAGCAAATCTCTGATGACATTAAATACTTACCTTTTGTATTTTGGAAATACAAATGTAAAATATTAATATTAATAAATTAACTTTTCAATTAATATGAAATCAGATTTTATATACAGTAAGTGCCTTTTTTCTGCTCAGTTGTGACATGACAATGGTCCAGGAACGGACGGAAACGTCATCGTAACGTTCCTCTCCTAAGAGCGTATTTTGGTGAATTTAATAAATGCATTTTATAAGGCTTAATGGGTGTCAGATATTAAACAAAATGTTGATGGTATTAGTCGCACACTCACTTGAAACTAACGATGAAAAGTCTGATTTGAGAAGAAGAGACAGATAACTTCAAACTTTCTCTCTCTCCCTGATACAGTACATACGGGACAAAGTCTTACCTTACTTTCTCTCTCCCTGATACAAAAAACACGGGACTAAGGCACCTTACTTTCTCTCTCTCTCCCTGATACAATAAACACGGGACTAAGACGAGACTTACCTGAGGCCGCGGGCGTAGTCAAGCTCGATCTGGCATCTCTCCTTGACGAAGTGACCGTACTGCTCGAGGAAGTTGATGCCCTTATGTGTGTGGCCCGCGATGCACTCCCACTGGTCCTGTAGGCATGAGTCATAGTTATACTCTTACAAGTTTTACATCAAGACGCGTCAAGATGGAAGGGAGGGAGGGAACATTTAAACAGCTATGGGATCAAAAGATTATCTAGTTCTCTCTATAATAATTATATAATCATAAATCATAATCACATTAAAAGAACCTAACACCAACAACCACAGATTTTTTTTTATAGATTATGTGGCGAGGAATGAGTTTATTGAGTTCGCGCTACTCATCTTGTGAGTGACCTTACCGTCATAGTGACGGTCCTCGCAGAATGGACTGAGTTCAAACTCATGGACTGGATCACAGTCTTAATAAGTCATTCATCTGTGTGTATTCCTACACACTAGAAGTCAGCATGGGCACCACTCTGATGGCAAGTTTCTAAAAACAGAATCTGACCCACACGGCAGAGATGAGATCTAGCTTAAGTCCCTTCACGTGGCATCTGTAGGTTACCAGGAGCAGCTTCCGGAGGTCACCGCCCCCGCGGCCCGGTCCCAGACCAGGCCTCCTGGTTGCTGGCCTGAGCATTCAACCTGTTGGTGCCCGCCGCCTGCAGCCTAACGTATGCACCACAGCCAATTTCATCAGTAAATGAGTTGAGGATTCTGTCGAGTTCTCTCTTGAAGACAACCAGGTGTTTCTTGGTAATTCCCCTTCATGCATGAAGGGAGGATACTGAAGGGTTGTGGTCTCTTTACACTTAATGGGCTTTCTCTCACTGTGCTCATCGCTTCCTTGCTTTTCACCGGAGTTATTTTGCAGCATCTGCCAAGCCTCTTGTGTTCATATGTAGTGATTTCGGTGTGCAGATTAGGGCCAATCCCTATAGAATCTTCTAGATGAATGTTACAATGTATATTTCCCGCCTATGTTCTAAAAAGTACACTTCGAGAGATTTCAGGCGCCCCCAATAATTTAGGAGCTTGCCTCAATTTATACGAGCTATGAAGGTTCTGTGTACGTTTTCTAGCTGTGCAATTTCGTCTGTTTTGAAGGTGACCGATAGTATACAGCAATGTGTGTCAATGACTCGCGAAAATCGTATTCTTCAGTGTTATTATGATTTTCGTGAGTCATAATGATATTACAACTTCCAAAAGTAAAAAAAAAAAATCACACTCAGTAAAACAATACAATAACACAGCTAAAATATCCTTAATTATTTAAATTAAGGAAAATGATGGAAGGATGCTGTGGTATGTGGCTGTCCCTGAGGGTATGTGGCTGTCCCTGAGTGTATATGGCTGTCCCTGAGGGTATGTGGCTGTCCCTGAGGTTATGTGGCTGTCCACGAGGGTATGTGGCTGTCCGTGAGGGTATGTGGGTGTCCGTGAGTGTATGTGGCTGTCCCTGAGGATACATGGCTGTCCCTGAGGATACGTGGCTGTCCCTGAGGGCATGTGGTTGTCCATGAGGGTATGTGGGTATTCGTGAGGGTGGGTGGGTGTCCGTGAGGGTAGGTGGATGGGTGTCCGTGAGGGTAGGTGGGCGAGTGTCCATGAGGATATATAAGTATTCAGGTGAGGGTAGGTGGGGTGGGTGTCCATGGTATGAGTGAGGTTCTCGGGTCTAACTACTGCTGATTCCGGGATCATCGTTCCGCTACCCGGTCCCAAAACGTCTCCTGGTTGATGGCCTGACCAGTCAGGCTGTTGATGCTAGCTGCACGCAGTCTAACGTAGGCATCACAGCTTGACTAATTGTACCTTCCCTCGTGAAGACAAATTAAGTTCGTGACATAAGATGTAACAATTAACCACCTAGTACATAAAATTAACAATAATTAACTACCTGGTATAAAAAATTAACAACAATTAACTACTTAGTATATAAAATATAAAAATGACACAGGTGGCTGGGTGTGTAAAGCAGTGAGGCGTTTAGTGCGAACAAAATGTGTTACATGTCTTGTACATCCGTCGTAATAGATCGGATGGAGATACAACAAAGCAGGTGAGGATACATGGGCAAGACCCTTAAAATTTGTTATCCCTGTTCACCTAGCATTAAAGAAGTATCTGCATCCTGGGGGTGGGCAGCATTATTTAGACTGGGCTGGGTTATGAAATGAGTAGAGGTAGGATAACAGCTCTTACCTTGTAAATTCAACGGTGTACAAGAAGAGTACACAAGCGGGAGGAGCAACAAGAGCTGGGGAGAAGAAACTGCAGAGCTCAGGCACCAGACGGTGCTCAGTGAGTGGTCTGCGAAGTAATATTTATTGTTAGTGATGGTAGCCACAGTGAACAACACACTGCTTGCCCAGCGGATGTTCCCCTGGGAACTTCTCTCTCACGCTTCCCCACTCTCCCATTTCTTCAGCATTCCTCCTCTATTCTCATTGCTCTACTGAAGTCTTCTAGCTCAACCTGCTAGATTTCAATACGAACTTTGTATGCGTCCCATCTTGCGTTATGGAATATGACAACAAAACCTCCCTCGTGACCCGGACCAAGACCGGACCTTCCCGTAGTTCAAGGCCTCATCAACCTGGGTGTATACCTCGAGAGGATTTCGGGGGTGCCCCGCAGCCTGGTGGCGAAAGCTCTCGCTATACAAGGTGAGGGCCCGGGTTCGATTCCTGGCGAAGGGGTGGAAACATGGGAGGCGTTTCCTTACACCGGGTGTCTATGTTCACCCATCAGTAAAATGGGTACCTGGGTGTTAGTGGACTGGTGTGGGTCACATCCTGGGACAAAACTGACCTAATTTGCGGGAAATGTTCTGCATAACAAGCGACTTTCTATATAGCAGTATGTCATTGATGTCAGCTAGGACTATACCTTTTACATGTACTTGTAGTAAATAAAGATATTATATTATTATTATATAATTACTTCCAAGCCTTGCACGTGTAACTTTCGCTCTAGAGTTTGTCCTTTACTCTGTTAGTTTATATTTCCTCCTTTCTTCCATAGCGAAGCAAGAGAAACCTGTCCTCGTTAAACATCATATTATTGTCTGAGGACCACTGGAAGACTTGACTAATATGCACTTGAAGATCTGCTGTGTCTTCGATGGATACCACTCTCAGAGAATTTACAGTTACCAGTAAAGGCTGTTACGGTGCTATGATAAATATCCTTGTCGATGTCGGATATAAGAATGAGAAACGGAAGTGGGGCAAGTACAGCGCCTTGAAGAACACAGCTTTTTACTGTGGCAGCCTCCGAATTCACTCTCTGGGTTCCATTTGTTAAGAAATTAAATATCCATCTGCCCACATCTCCAGTTTTTTCCTTTTGTGAATTATCACACCATGGTCGCACTTGTCAAATGCTTTTGCAAAAAACAGTGTACACTACATCGGCATTTACCCTGTCTTCAGTACATCCAAGACCAAATCTTCATTATGCAACTGCTGATTCCATGTAACTGGCAATCTTGATTCTTAAGACGCGTCAAAAGATTTTGTGTAAAATTAGTGCTATTCTTCTATATTTTTTCGCAATCACTTTACTGCCACCTTCATGAAATGGAGCAATATCAGTGGTTTTTATGGCTCTTCGCTTGTCTCTCCTGGACTCTACGTGATGCAATCAGTTTGTGCTCGATGTTCTCCATTTTTCTAACCAGAGTTTTCTTTCGGGCTTGAGAGTCTGCTGCCTTAAGATCTGTTATCAGTAGTCTTTGCTTACTGCGCCCCCCCCCCCCCGCTCTCGCTCTTTATCTCTCTTGCATTTCCTCCACTGCTATAGGAGTGTGTGTCTGGAGCATACTTCAAACACTAGTACGCTCATCCTCCTGAGGCTCTGGTTTAAACCGGTGGTCGTATCGTCATCTCAGCCTATCTCGTAAAGTTCGTGATTTATTTGGTCCCAGTTAATGTTGTTCTTGTTGAAATTAAATTAGTTGAATTTGCCTTCATGACTGATCGCGTTTCGTTGTCCCAGGATAATGTGCACGCACGTCTGTACTTCGAGATTATGTTGTGGTCTGAGATTAGTCTCAGACTAGGTCCTCATTGCTCGTAAATATAATGCCCTAGGGCGCAGGGGTGGGGAACCTGCGGTCTTCTAGGGCATTTCTTGAAGTTATTATATAATAATTATTTTTTTTACAAAATAACCGACATTTTGCAATATATCTAATCAAAATTTCTTGAATGAGGCCTTATTATATTACAGATAACTATAATGTGGCCTTCCAACATAAAAACGGTTTCCCACCCCTGGGACTCTAGGCTGTTTTCCAGTCTGGTCGGTTCAGTAAGCTGCTGACTTAAGAAGAATTTATTGCAGAGGTTTAATAATTCTCTTTTGTGGGACTGTTCCTCCACTGCCAGCTAGTGTTGCGAGCCACGACCATGATATGCCCTACCTGCTTATACCTACTTTATACACACACACAAACATAATAAGCTAATGTACACTAGAAGACCTACATTCTCTCTCTCCTTTAAGTCTTCAGATCTCCCTTCTCTCCCTACCTCAAACCTACACGAGAAGCCCGCCCTTCTCTCCGTTCCCGAGGCTTTCACTAGCTAGATATGTCCTCTCCACTCTCTCATTTACACAAGGTTTTCACAGAGTTAGGTCAAAAGTTCTACCTTTATTTAGAAGCTAAGTGCTTGTAAATAAAGGTAATTTGAAAACCTTTTTATTGCTATAAAACACGCAACTGACTTTATATCAAAGACGTTATGTTGTATGAGCATGTTCCAGACTAGAGTCATTCTAGAAATGAATGATCTTAGATGAAGTGTTGTCTGAAGTGATGTTCTCGAAGGGTGCAGCCAGAGTGTAATTGATACTGATCGCCTGTCTTGTGGTATAAAAGCTGTCTTCTCGCCGCCTGAGAAGTGTAGCCAAGTATTGTACCCTGACAATAACAGCCTTGTACATAACAGTAAGGCCGCCCACATCTTGGTGCTGAAGGCTCTGCTGAAATGACAGCTATCCAGGCCGGGTCTAAACGAGAGAAGTCGTCTTGCTCGGTTCTTTATTCTGCCCTGAAATTGTAGATGAGAATTGGGAGAGGTGGAAGCATG